CAACTACGTGCGGAACTCGCGSGCCATCGGCGTGCTCTGGGCCATCTTCACCATCTGCTTCGCCATCATCAACGTGGTGGTCTTCATCCAGCCCTACTGGGTGGGCGACAGCGTCAACACGCCCAAGCCCGGGTACTTCGGGCTGTTCCACTATTGCGTGGGCAGCGGGCTGGCGGGCCGGGAGCTGTCATGCCGTGGCTCCTTCACCGACTTCAGCACCATCCCCTCGGGCGCCTTCCAGGCGGCCGCGTTCTTCGTGCTGCTCTCCATGGTGCTGACGCTGGGCTGCATCACCTGCTTCGCCCTATTCTTCTTCTGCAACACCGCCACCGTCTACAAGATCTGCGCCTGGATGCAGCTGCTGGCAGGTACACTCCGGCACCGGGAGCACCGGCACCGGGAGCACTGGCCTGCCCCGGGCCTGGCGGCGGGCGATGGGCGGGGGAAATGTGGGCAGCGCCGGGTGTGGGGCACTCCGGGAGGATCTGGCACTGGTAGTGGGGCCCCTGGCTGCAGGGAGCACCGAGGTTGCTCAAGGAAGCTGGGCTGGGTCCAAGCACTGCGGGGCCGTGGTTCCAGGATCCAGCCTCATGGCTTCTTGGGACACCCAGGCCGGGTGCAAGTGCTGACAGACTACCAGGAATGGGCACCAGTTCGGGACACTGCCACCCAGGGCTCCCTAGTATCCCCTGGCCACAAACAACACTAGGGCTGCCCAAGAAAGCTGGGTTCTGGTACAAATACTGGGTACAAGTAACCATACAGTATCCCAGCCAGGAGCCAGGCCCAGGACATCCCAGGACTTCCTGAGACACCCAGGGCAGGCACTGGCACTGACAGAGCACCAGGAACAGGCGCTGGCACTGGTGCCCGGGGCTCCCCAGGCAGAGGTTGGCTTCAGGGAACACTGGGGTTGCTTGAGGAAGCTGGGCAGGGTACAAGCACTGTCGGGCCATGGGGCATGCCAGCCAAGAAGTGTCTTCAGGACACTCCAGGGCTTCCTGGGACACCCAGGCCAGGCACTGGCACTAACAGAGCACCAGGAATTTGCACCTGTTCTGGGCTCTGAAACCTGCGGTTCCCCAGGAAGGTCTGACTCCGGGGAACCACAGGACTCACTGGGACACAGCAGGAAAGCTGGATCAGGGACCCCCCTTAGGGGATCCCAGAACAGGCACTGGCCCCGGCCACCTGGGCAGCCTGGAGTACCTCAGGAAAGCTGAGCCAGGCACTGGCCTTGGAGCACCTTGGGACATCCTGGGCCAGGGACCAGCCTTGGGACACCCCAGTTAGGAACCAGTGTTGGGACACCCTACAACAGGGACTGACAGAATCAAGGACCAACTGCAAGATGGCCTAGGACACATTGGACCTGGGATCAGGCCCCTGGGGATGCAGACACCCTGGGACAGTCCACATCAGGGACTAGCCTTTCTGTCAAACCAGGCCCAGGGACATCCCTGAGCAAGTATCCCCAAGGGATACTCACTTTAGGGGAATCCCCAGTGCCTGAAGGAACCTCATCACTGGCAGGAACCCATGCATGGATCTCCCAGCCCTGTAAAAGCACCTGTGCACAGACAGACCCTTCAGCTCCCCCTTAAAGACATGTTGTGCCCAGGCCCCCTCCCTCCCACATCATGAAAGAGCTGCGAGGACAAGCCTTTCTGAGCTCTCTCCAGTGCTTCCCATGGGGGAACATTATACATTTACCTTGAGGTCTGCTCAGGCATGACCACAGGCTCAAGCCCAGTCATTGCCCCCAAAAGTGTCCCTGTCTATAGATTCTCCTTAGCTCCCTCCACAAATTAAACCCCATTGTAGATGTGCCCCAAGACCCTCATAGACTCACTCCTCAAAGTGGCACCATACAATAACCCTTTCTCCAGAAGGGGACCTAATGCCTATACTAATAAAGGATCCTGAGTATCCCTTGTGCACAGACCTCTAAGCTGTCCTAACAGAGAGCCTGTCCTTTTTGGAGAAAGACCCTGAGAACTGATGCTGAGCTTTCCCTGGTAGGGGGATCCCTCACTTCCTTCTCTGTCCAGTTTTATGAACTATAGACAGACACTTTTACTCTCCACTACATACAAAGTGTGAATAGACCCAGAGCTTCCACTGGAAGGACCCAGAGCAGCCCTTATTCCTAATGAAAGGACCCAATCTGTCCCCTCTGTGAGCAGGGCCCCAGTCATTGATGTGGAAGGATATAGCCCCTCTGTGCTAGGGCCTTGTAGCCAGCCCAACTCTCTCTCCCTTGCAGCTGGCTGGGGCTGGAAAGCCTGACCTCTCGTCACCCAGATCAGGACCACAGCCAGATCAGGAGCTGCCTTGGCTTATCAGGAAATTCCCTCATCTTTAATTTTCCCTGTCCTGAAGATTTATCAGTTTAAAGCAAGCTCAGAGCCCAAATCCTACCGATGATTGTCAGCAGCTTAATCAAGTGGTTTGGAGCAACCCGAGTGCTGCTGCTGCACAGGGAGCTGTGTGGTGGAGGGCACTGCACTCGAGGCAGCTCTGAGCTTCCTCCCCATTGCCTCCTGTCCTGCCCTGGCTCAAGTTTGGGTGGCCACAACAGCACCCTGTGCTGTCAGCTCTGGATACCCCTTGTCCTGTATGAGGCTTGTCCCTGCTCACACTTGGCACCTTGTTGTTACACATGCGTTGCTCATAGCGGCACTTGTGAACCCCAAGCATGTGTCTTGCTGGGGCCATGGATCAGCTCCTCTGNCTCCAGCTGGGCCAGGCTGGCTCAGAGCTCTCCCACAGCAGCACGGCTCCGTGGCCTCTCTGTGCTGGGGAAAGTCCAAGGCAGCATTAACAGAGATTGTCCCTGCACTCTACCCTGAGATTGGACAGCACAAGAGAGCTCCTGTCCTGCAGGACAGGCTGGTGTCCCTGTCAGGGAGGGCTAGGACACAGAGATGGTGGAGTGGTGTGTCCCAGCAAGGAATCTCATCCTGGAGCATTGGGCAGGGCTGAACTTCCGTGGGCATGTCAGAGACAGCTGCAGGTGGATGTGTTACCTTGTGCATGGAGGAGGAGTTGCTGCGACCCATGGAGCACTCACAGGGGCCAGATCTCATGAGTAGGGCAGTAGGTGGCCTGATGCAGGCTCTGGCAAAGCATGGTGGCAAACTTCGGAGATTCATCTGCCTGGGAGGTTGAAGGGTTGTGCCAGAGGAGAGGGCTTGGAGGGGCAGAGAAGGGAAGGATATTCCTCCTGCCTCGATGAGGCTTTAGCTGAAGGAGGACTTGCACTACTACAGCAACAGTGAGACTCAAAGTCTCTTGGTCTCACTGGTGAAAAGGGGACTGGCAGAGAGATGGGGCAGAGGTGTCCCCACCCTGTCCCTCTGGAATGTCCAGTGCAGAGTACAGGGCTGCTGAGTGTGGGCATGGATGGGCTCAGCAGAAGAGAAAAATCGAGTCCAGGAATGTGGGGGAAGGGGATGAGGAATTCAGGATCTCTTTCAAAAAAAAAAGTTTAAATCATCAATGTCTAATTAGTGGACAGCAATCAAGGCAGAGTTTAATTAGAGCTTGACAGAAAGCTCCAGCTCAAAAGCCACTGCCCCCCTAGGAGGAAACTGGATCTAATTAAGAGGAAAGACTCTGCTTTATCGCAAATAGAACGTGGCCATCTGCCCTGTTCGAAATCCCAGTAACGCAAAACGAGATTTTGCTAAATCCTTCTGTTACAAAACCAGAGATGGGCCCTTAACATGAGCACGTCAGCAACTGTGTGACTGACAGCACCTGATGCCACCCCAGTACTCAAAATTAGTGGAGGAGCTCCTTCAGAAAGTCCCATGGGATGATGCTTACTTGAAAAGAAGTGGGCTGTGACGGTAATCCCCCTTAGGATCCATCTGCAGGAGACTGGAGCACAGGAATACACCCTCACCACGTACTGGGGAGGCTTCCCAGGAGTCTGAGCATTTCCTCTGATTCCCTGATCCTCTGCTGTAGCATAAGGCACAATCACCCTGTGAGTTAACTCCAAGCTTTGTCTTGGTGCCCACAAATAATCCGGAGTAAGAGAGCCCAACCACCTCTGTGTGACTCTGCATCCACATGCTTCTCGTCAGGACAGTCACTCCGAGTGGGTCCAGGGTTCTGTTTCCAGGGGGTCTTCAGTTTTGTACTTACAATCTACTGAGGGTCAAAAGAGGCAGCCAGCTGAGCACACCATCCCTCTTGCATGTAGGAATGGACTGGCCACATTTTAAGGTGTTTCCCTGTGCTTCAGGTCCAGCAGTCAGTGTGGTAAGACCTTCCAGCTCCCCTAGGGATGCATGATGTCCAGGGCCATGCCTTTGACAGTAGGGCTGGGGTTTGTCCTTATCCATAGCACTTTGGAGTTGACTATGCCATGTCCAGGCACCTTACCTGATGGACAATCTGTTAATACATATCCATCTGAGCCCTTTTCTCCCACTCCCTTCAGAGCTACACTCACCTCTCGGATGGGCCCTTCCGAGGGCTGGTAGCAGAGGCAGAGCCCTGAGCAGTGACTTCATCTTCTGCATCTCAGCCGTGTTTGCCACCTTCTGACTGGGGACCCCTTGCAGGGCATCATTCTGGCATGTCCAGGAAGAGGAGTGCTGAGGAAGCCCATTGGCAGATGCTGGGCTGTGTGTGGCAGGGCCGTGTGGTGTGGGGGTGTCACCTCAGCCCCAAGGGAGAGCAGGGTCTGGCCCCAGCACCACAGTCCTGAAACGCTCCATGGTGCTGGCAACGATGTGGTGGCTCTGCTGAGCCACATCAGGACAGGCTCATCTTCCTGACTGGGACTTGCTGGAGAGCCAACTCCTCTCAGAGTTCGAGGTTTCAAAGCAATTGTTTTCATGGATATAAAAGTCATTAATTGATTTTCGTAATGAAAAAATTTGAGGCAGATTCCACTGCTCCAAAACAGCTTGGAGTGTAACTGGGACAGCTACTGGGAATGAAACTGCCCAGAGAGGTCATGGAGTCTCCCTCTCTGGAGACATTCAAAACCTGCCTGGATGCATTCCTATACAACTTGCTCTAGGTGACCCTGCCTCGGCAGGGGGGTTGGACTGGATGATCTCCACAGGTCACTTCTAACCTTAACTATCCCGTGATTCTGTGATTCTATCCTGTATCCTCAAGCCCTTTCTCTGTCCAAGGGAGAAATATTGCCAAAAATATGATCTTTCAGGTGAACCACTTCCACCTGCCGACCTTGCAGCAAAAATTACATCACCGCGAAAAAACTTAGCCTTTGATCAATTACCGTCTTCTTGCCCCCAGAAAAGCTTTCCTGAAGACTCCCCCCTCCTTCCACTGCCACTCCTGCCTTGCAGCGGGGACAGGAGCAGGGATTCAGCCTATTCCTTGCATCCAGCCGGCGCCGTGTGCTCCGCGGCAGCAGCCCCGGGGTTTGCACGGCAGCGCGTCCCTCCCGTAGCGGCTGTTAATGTGCCTGTGTACTCGCAGGGAGGGGCTGAGCCGCGCGTTTCGGAGCCGCTCGTGTCCTGGAGCTTACATCCCTTAACTGTTGTTCCAGATAAAGTAACTGTCAGTTCTGATTCATACAAACTCATAACTCTATTCTGAATCCTGCTGATTTTTTGGCACGGAAACAGCCTGTGGAGCAAAATGCCGTAAGGGAGCTCGTGTCTGTGTAAATGGCCGGTGCTACTCGTCCTGAGCACGCTGCCCTTAGTGTTCATCTATTTTTGAGGGATTTCAGTTTCTATGGGAAGGAAGGGCGGCTATGTTTGTCCCCTTTCCCTTCAGTGATCAGCTCTCAGGAGGTTTTCTAGTGAGAAGCAGCCACTCCAGACCCCAATATCACAGCCCAGCCCCTGTTCCCCAGAGGCTTGGGGCTCACTGTCCCCACACCAGGTTTAACAAGCCCCTTTGGGCCCCAGTGGTTGCTGGTGTCCCCCCTGTTACCTCACATTTTCCAGTTTGCGTGTCCTGGGGTGGTGTGATGCTCTGTGTGCCCGTGCTCGGGGGGAGGCCACATCTCTCAGCTGCAGGGCATGTCCTGAGCTTCTTCTACCCATGGCAGGCAAAAACAGTAAAAGCCAGTCTTCGTCCACACCTGCAGACTAAACTGGACAGAAAAAGTGATTAAAAAAATCAGATTTTAATGCTGCAGGCACAGCTGCTCAGGGCAGGTGCAGTACTGGGATAGCCATGGTACTCAGCAAACATGGGGCTACTCAGACAAATTAGCTAAATGCACCTTGTACCAGGAGATGTTATCCTGCCGGGAGGAGCTTCCTCTTGTGTTGCAGCCTGAGTCATAATGTTACATTCCCTTTGATTAATTTCTTTTGCAAGGATATCAAAAGCCCTTGAGATGCCTGTTTCATTTCTAGAGGACCTTGACAAGGGAGCACTGAGGAGTGGGAAGCCATGAACCAGCTGTAAAACCAAGCCAAGAAATGCTAGTTTTTCCGGGGCCAGAACCCCATCCCCAGCAGGATCATCCTCCCTCCGCATACACCCTCCCCCAGCAATCGCTGAAATGCCTTTCCAACTGGGAAAACTCTAGAAGAGGGAGTTGGAGCCCAGGGCCTGGGAGAAGGATGGCAGCTGTGGGGTGTGACAGAGTAGCCAGTCATCCTTGGTGCCATTGGCAGTGAGGACTCGCACCACACCCTCAGAAGAAGAGGAATTAAAAGCAAAATGGATGGGAGTTGGGTTATTTTTTCCTCTTTAACAGCGGCTCTAGTAGGAGTCATCACTTGGTGTTTTTCATGTGGTTGCAAGGTGTAGAAATAGGTTGTTTTAAACAAAAATCAAGGTTTTCCTGCAGGTCTGCAAGGGATCTTGGGGCATTGGGAGGCAGGTGCAGGCAGACCCCCAATCTTGCACCCCTCAGAGCTGTTGCAGAGGGCAGTGCTGAGGCCTGTGGACCATGTGGGGATCCCCTCCTTGTTCTTGCTCCACTCTTTAATGTCACTCCTTGCTGCAGGCACAGGAAGGTGTTTCCAGGACATCAGGCAGGCTGGGGACATGCAGAAAAGGGAATTGCTTGTGACAGAGCAGAGGACTCGGCTTGCTGCTGGGAACATGTAGGACAGATGGGAAGAAGAGAGCACTGAGCTGCTCTGAGCTGCAGGGACAAACCCACCCCCTTGCCAGGGATGGCCACAGAGCACCTTAGCTTGTTTCATACTGCACTGCACTGGGAGCTCAGTGGATCCTAAAATCCTCTTAGCATCTTGCTTTCACAGGAACAGTCCCTGGCACAGGTTTGCTGCACCTGCTCCCCTTTATTTCAGGCCCTTGGCTGAATTAATGCCATCCTGCCCCAAGGTGCCCAGGTCAGCATCAGGCCAGGCTACACCTCACCATTTACCACACAGAGCACGGCATTGGTCCTGATTGTACTTCCTTGCAGAGGGATGGTTTTGGGCTGGCCCAGTCCCAGCAGGCAGGGAGCTCCCCCAGACACGCTGTGCTTGGCTGGGAGTCCCTGGTGACGATGTACTGGAGGTGCCAGCTTGTCGGCTCCTGTGCAGCCATGCAGTGCCAGGGTAGAACCAGGGCTGTGCACGGCCCTAAATCAGCATGCAGGGCTCACCACTGCCTGCAAAGACACTTCTACAGAGCAGGTTTGTGATGTGGACAGAGGAGGCAGAGACCAGGCAGCAGCTGGCACGTGACATTATGTACCAGAGCACAGACTACTCACCTCAGTGTCCCTGCTCTTTTCTGGGTGCAGCTTATCAGGATGCGAGGGCAATACCTGCTCCCAGTGTGATGCCCTGCATATGCTTCCCTCCCTCCTGGGATTTTCCTTCCCTCCTGAGAGCAGTTCAAAGCACGTGCCAGCACCCAGGCAGCTTGTGCCAGACCACCAGCTGCCCTCCCCTGGGGCCACTGCTACAGCACTTGTGCCTGCAGGGTGTTTGCTGTCCCTCCAGCGGTAAGGGATGGGGAGATAATTCCTCACTGGTGCTGGCACAAGCTTCTTGGTTCTTCCCTAACTCAGGGCAAAAATACCTGCAGGGCACCCCAGCCAACATCATTACTATTTTTAGCCTTCCCAGCTGATACGGGCAAGGAGCTTTTATACTTGCTGTAGTTAGAAAAAACGTCACCTTCTTACCTTGACAGTCACAGGCTTTGTGTTGGCATTTCCCTCTGTGTGTTCCCTGGTGTCTCCTTGCTCAGCATGGAGCGTGCAGGATGGAGGCACACTGGGAAGGTGACCCCTCTGGGAGCGGTGCTTGCAGGATGTGTGGTGGTTGGGTGCAGGGGCTCCTGGGGATGACGATCCTCTCAGCACGCAGCATCCCTGCCTGCAGCTCCTGCCTGGTAGCTCCTGCCCACATGCAGGGAGTCTGCAGTGATGAGGAAAGCCCATGGGGAACCACTGATCCTGTGACTGATGCTGGAAGAAACCAAGACCCTGAAGTTCCCATTTGTTCGTGGGCAAGATTTGGGACAGCCACGTGCAAACCCAGTCCCTGGGGCTGCTGGGGCAGTGGTGGCTGTCTCCTGCCACATCACCTGGCTGTCATGGGGCCAAGGTGGGCTTGCTGACAGGTGTGGGCTGCACTCATGCACTGACTGGGGGGCTCAGTGCCTGGCACTGCCACCCCGTGTCCCCTCTGATGCCTCCCCTCCTCTCCCCCTTGCAGCGCTCTGCCTGGTGCTGGGCTGTATGATCTTTCCTGATGGCTGGGATGCAGAGACCATACGGGACATGTGCGGGGAGAAGACAGGGAAATACTCCCTGGGCGACTGCTCCGTGCGCTGGGCTTACATCCTGGCCATCATCGGCATCCTCAACGCTCTCATCCTTTCCTTCCTGGCCTTTGTCCTCGGCAACCGGCAGAACGACCTGCTGCACGAGGAGCTCAAGACAGAGAGCAAAGGTGAGAGCCACGCTGCCGAGGGTCCCGGGGCCCTGGGGGGATCCTGGGTGGGAACAGCCTGGGGGGCTTGGCCCCTCCAGCATCCTGAAGAGAGTCCCATGGGCTTAACTGCCACCTACAAAGAGGAGCAGGCTGGGCAGGGTGGGAGCGGAGCGGGCTGCCGAGCCTCTGTCCTGCCTGACACTCGTCTCTTCTGTTTCCACAGATTTTGTTGGCACTGCGGTAAGTCTTGAGTGTCACTGTCCTGTCCCCTGGCCCTGACTGTGTGGCGTGTCTGGGTGTGCTGTGTGGCTTGGGATGGGGGAACCCTGTCTGTGCGGGCAGCGAGGCTGGGGACAATGGGGAAGGGAGGCAGCAGGGACAGGGTGGGGCGCGGCAGGGATGGGGACAGGCATGTGCTGATGGCACGATGGTGCAGTAAGACCTGCCCAACACCGTCCTCGACCCGCTGTGCTCTCCCCACAGAGGATATAAGGCCGACCGTCCGCAGCAGGACCCTCTTCCCATGGCCGGCAGCCTG